AGATCTCACCGTTGACAACCCACGCGAGCGGACCCCAGGTAGAGGCGAAGAAGAAGATGTAGACGCAGACAAAGGCGATGGCGGCCTTTTGCGCGGGCAGGTTGTACACGATAATGTTGCCGGCGTCGTCCTGGCCCGTGGTCAAGGTTCCCAGCATGGCGACGAGGAATTGCGAGACGCACATGCCGACGGCACCCCAGAGAAGCAAGGGGCGACGTCCCCAGCGGTCGACGGCCCACATACCGGGAAGAGTCGAAGCGACGTTGATGGACGAGGTGATCATACCGATGACAAAACCGTTGGAGAAGCCAGAGTTTTGGAAGTACTGCGTTCCGTAGTAGAAGATGAAGTTGATACCGGTCAGCTGCTGGAGCGCCTGGAGAGCGCAGCCGGTGAACTGGCGCTTGAGGACGGGGGGCTTGAAGCAGTCGAGGTAGCTACCGGTGCCGATGGTGGCCTCGTAGTCGTTGTTGGCCTTGATCTCGGCAATCTCCTCGGCGACGTAGGGATCGTTCTCGGGAAGGCGGCGGATCTTGGCCAAGGCCTTGGTGGCGCGGTCAATGTGGCCCTGCTTGATGAGGAAGCGAGGCGTCTCGGGCAAGAGAAGCATGCCGAAGAAGAGGATGAGAGACCAGGCAAACTGGACGGCGATGGGGATGCGGTAGGATCCAGTGTCCTGGCGGGCGTGCGTTGCGTTGTTAATGATGGCAGCCAGGAGCAGACCGATGGTGATGGCCCATTGGTAGGCGCCGACGATGGCACCACGAATCCACTTGGGGGCGGTCTCAGATTGGTAGAGGGGGACTATTCACGGTTAGCAGAGGTTCTTCATGACGGAGAAGAATAATGCTGACCCAGGGCGGAAATCAGACCGACTCCGAAACCGGCGAAGAAACGACCGGCCAGGAAAAGGGGAATGGCAGTAGCAACGGTCTGGAGAACAACACCGAGGTTGAAAACCCAGCACGAGGCGACGAGGGCCATGCGACGTCCGATGGTATCGGCGAGGAAGGGGGAGGCCAGGGCACCGAAGAAAGTGCCGGCGGAGAGGATGGAGACGATGGCGGATTCTTGGTCGGGCGAGACGTCCTTGTTACCGGCGGTGTTCACGTAGCCGGTGCTGAAGAGGCGTTGCCAGTAGGACTGTCGAAAGGTGGTTAGTTTGTACGTCTTTTACCAAGGTGTTGGGAATCAAGACATACCATCTCGAGGATGCCGTTAATGGTACCGGTGTCATATCCGAAGAGGAGACCGCCAAAGGCGACGAAGAAGCCAATGGCAATGGCCGGCCAGGCCTTGCCTGGGACACCCTCAGGCTTGATACCCATGATGACGGCGGGCTACGGTATCTGGTTTGAGTGTGATGTTGGCAATGTGAGAAGAAGAGGCCAAGCCGTGTTCAGCAGAGGGGATGCAGTTGCTCGGACTCTGCGTCTGAGAGGAAGAGTGTTGGGCAGTGAAAGGCTTGAGCGCGACGACGGAGAAGAAAGGAAGACATCTGGGGAAGAGATGGGAGGAAACGACGAGCATATAAAGTCGTCCCCAGAATGCGGTACGACGCGGAGCTCCCACATAACAGGAAACCTTCCCCAAGGTGGGGGAAAGTGGAAGAGGTGCCACGGTGCTACCGCATGTTACCTGAGTTACCCATTAGGACTTTTCGTGGTATCCGTACTCCGTAGGCGGGCCATGACAAGGCAACAAGGTTTCCTTTCTGCAAAGGGGGGGTGTAATTGACCTCAAGTTCAGACAAACCATGTGGAGAGACGTCCAACAGGTCAGGATAGGGCCGATGGACGATCACGAGGTGATGTTGGGATGTGGAGGGAGGAAGAAGGAGAGTGTGGGTTGACCGTGAGCTCGCGGAACCTAGTACCAACACATCAAGGCATCTGAGCTGCAAGAAACCAAGTATTGGGTACTTTGTACAATTGTGACGATCTCACGAGCGAGGTGGCAGGGGGAGGTAGACCATAAAAAAAACCAGAAACAATAAAACAGACTACCTTGGTGTATCCGCAGCCGTAAAGTCGCCAGTTTAGCCCGCCAGGTTTTCCCATGGGTCCCCCTCATCCCCCAGCAAATGTGAATGAGCCCCAGCAGGGGAATGGCCGGCGCTAGTCAGGTAAGAGGGTGTGAAGGAGAAGGGAGAGGGAGTGTGAGGGGGGAGACTCTACAGACTCTGGGGTAGCTCCGGTCGGTATTAGCAAGTGTTTCACAGCAATTGGACTCTTTCTCAGCGGCGTAATACGGAGGCACGCAGGCATATACTGTGTAGGTTGGTTCATACATAGGTAAGAGACGCGGACTGGCGGCAGATGTCTGCTCTACGCGCCTAGTCTACGGCTTGGCCCAGTCAGGCAAGGTAAAGATATCCGAGGCTGGATTTAAAGCAACGGGAAGGGCACATGAGCAACGCCCCCAACGGTTCATCGGACAAGCACTACAAGCCTACAAGGTAGGGCCAAGTCGACGTTGAACGGCGCGACCGACGTTGAATAGGTACAATGGGATTGTTTCCGCCCGATGGCATGGATACGGAGTGCGTGATCTTGGTAAAGTTGGGTGTGGTGGAAAAGTTTTTCTGGGTCGCATCGAGTGGCATCAAGTCGAATCTCGTGCATCCCCGCGAGTCGTTCGCCCAAGACTTTGGCAAAGGTTTTCTGGAGAACTGGAGGACATGGAGAAGATGGAGAAAGGGCGGGGAGCTTGGAGATTGCCAGGGCGTGGGCCGTGGGGCAGCTTTTCCTGGTGAGATAAAACACGCCCCTCCCTCCCTTCTGATGATTGTGTTCTATAGACTATCCGCAATGGTCCGATTCATTGTTGGTTTGCGTCTGTTTTTGGGTTCAACGTGGGCCTGGCATCGTGTAAGGTACCTAGACATCCATTTAGCTGGTGCCAAACAGAGTGGATGAAGTGTTGTGTTTACAGAGTAGTGGCATTGTATCGCAACTATTGCCCTTGATGCTGATGGTACCGGATCCGTACGAAGTAGAGACTTGCAGACTCGGGGATTTGTGATCGGTCAAGGTACACTGCTCGAGGTACTCCGCGGTCCAAGTAATCAGGTACCTGGAGGCTTCAGCCATCAAGCATCGAGGTGGAGTTTGAACGTGCGAAATGTGGGCGAGAAGAAGACGATGGGAGCGAGAGAATGTGCGGTTTGCGGCTCGCCAGCCAGTGACGGCGTAGCTTGTAGGTACGTACTGTGTAGTGGAAGCGGGCTGGGGAAACTTGAAAGTTGTGTGGAGACCCCACAACGGTCACGCCGCGTCGCCGCCCGAGGGCATCGCTTAGGGATACGTACTCTTTCTCAATGTGGAGTTGCGGACTCTCGGCGATCCAATCAGCCAAGCAGATCGCCTGAGCTTGGAAGGAAACAAGCAACGGCCAAGGAAGTCGCGACTCTTCACTTTCTCTCTCTCACTTGGTTACTGAGGTGCTGTCTGCCTCGAATGAGATCTTTCGATGGATGAGCTTACATAAGGAGGCACGCAACTCGGAAAGCAACTAACAATGCAGCCAAGACCCGCCGTGGCCAGCTTCGCCAACTGCCGTCTTCACAAGCTCACAGCGTTTGCTTCCGTTCAAGGCTTGATTGACGATGGACATGGCCATTCTCGCCCAGCTTCTTCCTCTCACCTCATGCATCGTGTCACCCTCGTGATCTGCGGCGAGTCCTGCCCAGTCAATTCGAGACATCTGACATGCTGCCCTACACCGTAGCATGTTCCCGACTCACTGGGTCATGGCAATCATCGCCTGGCCTCGGCTCAGTCTCACTCTCCTCTCAGTGTCGTTCCCCAAAGTCTCACTTTCATTTAGTGAGCTTTCCTACGAGCGTGAGTGAGAGACAAGTGAGACGTAAGGTGAAGGGACCCTGGCCATGATCGACTGAAAAAGTCGAAACTCACTTTCGGCCCGTTTCCTCGCAGCTGCCCCGTCAATACCTTAATGTGCCCACGCTCCTCCCCTGCTCACCTCTCCACGTTGGATCCGCAGCTTCTCGTACTGGCTGCTCTCATTCGCTGCGCATTCACCACTTCATCTCCAACGCTATTTCTTTCGCTGCTACTCTTTACAAGATTTCCACCTTCATCGTCAGCTGCGACATGAAAGTTTTTGTTCATCTTCATTTTTTGTTTAATGAACCATGATACTTTTAGTTTTCATTCACGATGGCATCAGGGCATAATCGAAATTGACACATTCGCTCAAATGAAATTACTAGCAAACCACTCAAAAGTGTTTGCTGCAAGCATAATCCGTCACCAGATCGCCGAATCGCAAAAAGACGTCAGTGGCTTTATTCGGAATTCACCGACCATCTTTCATTCGGCCGCCCTCACACCATCTCGACGCTCGCCGTCTCCGCGTCTCCACCCCTCAACCGGCGCCCGTTATTGCCCGCGCCTATGTGGTATACTCGCCGCCATGAACTTGACTGTACTCGAACGGGTACAGTACTCTGCTATGTGGACTTTTCTGCATTCAATACCTACCAAGTATCGTGCGGCGTGCCTGTCCATCCCGTCGGTTCGGGTGACAGCTGCCATTACAGCATTGACTTCCGTACGAAAGTCTCGTAAGATCACGACTACTGTCGACAATGACTCTCATCCCAGCCCAACGTCTCCATCCGGACCGATGCCTGTCAAGTCTTGTCAGATCGGCCGTGTTCCATAATCTCGCTCTTTTAAGCGCCTCATCCCCAGTCGCCCACATTCCCGCTACCTCTCTCGGCGCTTCTTCGTTGTCTTTGCCCCGGGCTCCATCCCGGCTTCGGCCAACAATCCTGGCGCAAAACGCCGCAAACCCACGACGACTTCACTTGAGCCGCCCATGCTCCTACACCCTTAACGACTCCTCGCAATCGATTTACAGACGTCGTTCGATGTGCTAGCCTTTGTAGGCACTTCTCGTGTTCCCAACAACCTCTCAACATACATCACCACCACCTTTCACCCCATCATCATCACCCGTTAGCCAACGACCTAATGCACAGCACAGCGCGCCGCAACGTTGACAGGCCGCTTGGCAGCGAGAATGGGCTCCGTCTCGGACCTGAGACGCCTCATTTGCGGGCGCTCGCGCAGTTCTCGCTTGCGAATATACCAGTAGTCCCACCAAAGGCCCGATATCTCCAGAAACGCGGGGTTCTTTCTCTCCGCCAGCGCGCCTTTGCTGGAGGATCCTCGCGTATCGAACTATCAATGGCTATCCCTAGCTCGCCCGCAATCGAGCGCCGACGCCTCCTCGGTTTGACGGGGCTTTTCCCCTCGAAACACCATACAAATTTTGAAATGGCTCCAACGCCTCCTGGGAAATGCGGCAACAGAAAAGAGTCCAACTTTCAACCCAGCTAAAGCGCACTTGAAATAGTAGGTTTACGACCTCGCCTACCGTGGCGTGGGAGAGTGTGGAGGGAGGCTCAAGATGCGTTCGCGCGTATGGACCAACAGCAGAGCCGCTGCCGCTACTGCTCTTCCAATGAAGAGGATCGCCACCGTGCCGGCTACGCGGCCTCGAATGACGGCCGGTATCGCTATGCTCACATGATCAACTCGAGGGGCTACAGGCTGGCCAGGCACCGGCCTCAGCGTTCCCGGGACTTTGGCCTGCTGCGGGCGGTGAGGCCAGACTGGTCTCTTTCCGGGGAAGCACCGCGGGGGCCGATGGGTCGTCCCCGTGTCTCTGACGGCCCAGTGGCTACAGAAACGGCGGGCTGGGTACGGGGTTGGTGATCTGACCGATTTCTGACCTAGTCTTCACGTACCCCTCAACTGCGCATCACGAGACAACGCGGAGTCTGGAGAAGCCTGCTTGCTCCAGAATCCAGAATGTAACGAGCTTCCACACATGCCACGCGCGGACCTGTAGGGAACCCGAGCTGGAGCCTCCATCGGTCAAAAGCCGCCCTGTGTGAGGGTCGAGATCTGGTAATCGGCCCGTTGCATAAATCCCCGACAAGGTGCATAAATCTGATAACCACCGTCTTGGTATCGCATGGCCTTATCGTTGAGAATCAGGGGCCTCGAATATTTTGGTTCAATTTGATGCCTGATTTGAGGATAGAGCTGATCGCTGGGGAAAAGTCAAGGTCGAATGCTCAAAATCTCGTCGTTCTTGATAAAGTCATCAAAAGTTCGGCCCTGACTTACTTAGACTTGGAAGTCCTGAGAACGCCAAGTGGCACACGACAGCGAGTCACGGCTCTTAGTTGAGGAGAAAGCAAGCTGCCAGAGGAACGAACACAAGCTGTGTAAAGAGTGTCTCAATGTGGCATTATCAAGCTCTCCAACTGATTTATTCCCCGCCACGGAACCGGACGAGAATGATGAGGCACGCCTAATGCCACGACCCCTTTCATCAATCACGAATCCACAGCTCAGCAAGTCCACTGCGTAATCGTCAGTCTTTACAAATCAAGCCATATAAGTACGCAAACTTACCTCCGCACCACCAGGGGCCACATACGACGTGAACCCAGGCTGGTAGATCTGCAAGTGTACACGTCAGCAAACCACAACACAGCATAACATCACTTTCCACCACAGGGAGGACGCTCACGTTGACAGTATACCCGGGGTCAGTATCCTTGAAAGCACCAGGAATACTCAGAGTCGGCGCAAACGAGCTCGCGGAGGCGGTCGAGCCCGTGACGTTGATCTGCGCGCACGAGATGTAGAACTGCGGGATGCCGGCCGGGTAGGGGTTGTGGATGCCCAGCTGGTGGACGCGCAGGAGGTACTCGCCGTTAGGAAGGCACGTCGGGATCTTGTACTCGTAGGTTTCTAGGTGCTGGTGGTCAGTTCAATCCTTGACGGGTAGGAATTTGATGAGGTGAGTATCGTACGTCTCATTGGCCAAGTTGCCTGACCGTTGCTAAAGGTCGGGAGGAAGTCTTTGAACTTGGCCCATTTTCCGGACCCGTCGTAGTCTTGGACGTGAGAGGGCGCTTTGGACAGGAAGCTGGACGTCTATCAGCGAAAGCTACTGTGCATTGGACGCGTAAGTACTCACAGCGAGATGGGGCCCTGGTGGTAGACGGCCGTGTCGAGGGTGAAGGTGAAGGCGTCGCCGGGCTTCACGTTGACAACCGTAGTCTGGGCACCGCTGGCACCGCCGACGTTGCATCGCAAATCGTTCGAGGCGAGGTCTATTGGGCCGATCAGTTTCTTCTGTCCCTTCCAGAAACACGCAGATCAAGTGATGAGGGCACGTACCAGTAACGGGAGAGTTGTAGTTGGTGTTCTTCCGAATGTGCTGGAAGACGTCGTACTTTGTGGACCCCACGGACAGCTGCTGGAAGATGTAGTGCCCAGAGACTTCCGATACGGCTGCCGAGAGGACGGCGGCGGCGGTGAAGAACTTCATGGCGTCGGATCCGTTAGGTTGCGTCTGGTCAGAGAAGACGAGCGTATATTCGGAGCAGGAGCTAACTCGGAAGAAGGATGAAGATGATGAGGGAACCACGTCTACGGGCTCTTGGCTCTGTGCTCATCATTTAAATGGGATACTGGACGTTCTGCCATTTTCCTTCGCCAGGTCGTAGTGAGACGGCTCGGAAGCTCAGCTTCCCTGATGCTACTCTGGAGAGCAGTCATGATTGGCAAGGGGGTCAATCAACCTTGGTAATCAACAAGACCCTCTACGCGGCAACGATGAGAGGTGGGATTACTTCGGCTGTTGACGGGTCTCCGGTACATGGCCCCGAGCATGGTGTATCGCGTGATGGGCGGTTTGCTCTGACTGCCAGGAGACGGTACCAGATGCTATGTTGACCTGGTTGTGCCCAATATGCGTCAGCCAATGCTAAGCCGTGTTGTCGGACCACGAGACTCGGTCTGGAATGGTAACGGATCAGTGGTCCAGGGCTTACTTCGTGTGTCTAACTGAGCTCTTAGAGGCACCCAGAACTATCCTTAGACGGTGGCTACCTCTCTTGAACAAGATCTTCTGGATGATTCGGCGTGCTTAACAGTGACACGTCTTAGCTCACCGAGGCTATCTGTAAGACTACACGCTCCATCACTGATGCCTCCTGCAAGCAAGTGAAAACTCGCAAAGAACCACATCTCGAGCACACGGCGGCGTTGGATCTCGACAGCGATGATGAAAGTCATGTAGCCACCGGCAGAAGTCGTGCATGGCACGTGAGCCGTTCATTTGCCGGAGGTGAAATGCACCCCAGACTCTGTACTCTACTTAAATTAAGCTTGTATGGAATAGCATTTTAGCCGTGTAGATCACTTGGCAAACGTCGGCCTCGGCTGAATTCATTGTTGCTGAGAAGCGTTGCCTATAGTAGTTTGATGTGATCACTACAACGGATTGTAGAAAGAGGAAGGTGACTCTAGAAAATATTGAAGGGCACTGAGAACAGACATCTTTCCCGCATTCCTTTGGAGCTTCTGGTTCAAGTGCTGGCGGCTAGAGCCGTGGGCAGTGATAGTCTGGACTCACAGCATATAGTGCTCTTACCGCTTTACCGCCATAATTGCGTATCTCGCGATATTGATTGTATATCAGTCGACAGTCAGTCCAGTAGTATCTGCTTTGAGATTGAGAGTACTCCGAGCGGGTGATTTATATTAACATCAAACTCCTTTTTGAAGCTATCCAGGATCGTGAAACGGAGTCTCCCGGAGCCACAGCCTCCGGGCTCTAAACGGTACATGTTCTTTCCCTCCGATCACTGATGTATTAACTTTATGCCACTGACCAGTAATCAATCCAACTCATCAGAACCGCTTCCAGTCAAATTATGACAGTAATACAACAGAAGAGCATGGGGATGGCCTCAGAGGGAGTATATCAATTTGATTCCAGGACTGACTCATCTCATAAGAATTAGGACTGAACAAAGAAGACGGACAGAGTCATATGAAAGCGTTCACCGCACGATCAACGGCTTTCCATAAGGCTAGAGTATCTCAGGAGCACGTTCAATCTCCCCGCCCGGAGCGAGAAAGCGGATCGATCACCGGCCCGCCCGGGAAGCGGACCATGCTCACCCCCTTGCTCTTCGGGATCAGAGCTTCCGCTACCCCCGCAGATAAGGCGAATTGTACCCACGTTCACGCCGAGTAGTATCGCAGGCTTTATATTTGACCGCTTTATTAGAGTTTTGATTCCGGATCGGAGAAATAACAAAAGTTTCGTACGGATAGTCTATTGTATGCGGATGAGTAGTATATTTGCAAAGCTGCCGTGACCTTAGTTATAGTCGGCCCGTTACTTGATGATGTCAACAAACGACGAATCTCGTGACGAGAGATGAATGGCTGCGAATAAGAGGCAATGAAAGTGTGCTTACTGTTTTGCGCTGTGATCTACAAACAGACGGGTGCCCGCCAACCCAGTTGGTTTGGCTTTACCGCAATAAGCGCTTTGGAAACGCCCTTTGAATGATTTTTTTCCAGTATTTTCTCCGCTTTGATGACATGGGAAATTAATCCTTCAGGGCGCCGAAAAGTGAGAGCGAACCAGTCGATGGACACACAAGACTTGGAGCCCTTATAGTAGATCACATTCTCTACGTGTAAGCGACACTGAGTGTAGCCCACCATTTACATAGGTTATCACGACGGAAGCAGACTCTGGAAAAAGCGCCCTACGACGCAGCAAGCTAAGATGAAAGGCCTCGGCTCTCGTGTGATGCGGTAGAATTCACCGGCTATATCCAGGCCTGTAACATCGTCACGTCTCGGCAATCTAATCTCGACACCCCTTGATGTGTATTAGGCAAGTAGCGGACGAAGCTCAGTGTAGTCTAAGCTACTCGATGGGTCTCAGGGGTAATTTCTACGGGACATGTTGTAAATCGGTTTCTCGATGACTTTAACTATCGAGCATCGTCCTGGCGGCTGACAGCCTTGAGCTGCTGTTGAAATGTTGACGGAAACCCTTACCTTTCAGTAACTTCTAGGATCGTTTACCTTAGGTCTCGAAATGAAGGCCTTCATCGCAATCCTTACGACGTTTGTCGCCCTGAGCGAACTCGTCTCTGCCCACTGTGAGAAGCCCAAGAAGTGAAGAGCGTCCCATCCCGAACTGACAGTGCTCCCCAACTAGACCGCTTCACGAGCCTCGTGGTCGGGGGCGTCAACACAGGGGAATACGTCCATGTCAGGCGCAACACAAACTACAACAGCCCCGTCACAGACGTCCTCAGCAAAGACATCGTCTGCAATGCTGGCGGCCTCTCCTCCGGCCCGGCGACGCAGATCGCCACCGTCGCGGCCGGTTCGACCGTAAATCTTTCTCTTCTTCCTCTTCCTCCTTCTTCTCACATCTTCACGCCCCACGATCCGCCTTCCTATTCCTCACCCCCTCCCCGTTTCCGTGTCTCCATGCTCAAGATACCTTACACCCGAAGATCCGCGGGTCGATACGAGTCGAGAAGACTCACTAACCAACGCACTCTCTGCAGGTCGGTTTCGCAATGGACCAAGCAATCTACCACGACGGGCCTGTCATCGTCTGGCTCTCGCCCGCCGCGGGGTCCAACGTCACGACCTACGACGGCAGCGGTCCCTGGGCAAAGATCTGGGAGCTAGGCGCGCAGACAGGCAACGGGCAGATCAAGTTCCCCGCCTCGAACCAGGCGGGCTTCAACTTTCAAATCCCCTCATGCACACGTACGTCACGACATTTCCTTTCTGTCGAATGGTCAAGTGGTGGACTTACTCGTGCAACATGGTGCTTGCTGCTTTCCCCAGTAGTGGCCTCTCATCCGGGACTATGCAGCCGTGATCACCGTTGATCCCCACGGACGGGCACTCAACGCCCGCCCGTGTGTGATGTATGTATATATGGCTGGGCCGCGGAGTACTGACGGAGTCTAGCCCCGGGAGAGTACCTCCTCCGCATCGAGCAGATTGGACTACACTCCGCCAGTGCCAAGGCCGGAGCCCAGTTCTACATCTCGTGCGCCCAGATCAAGGTGACGGGATCAGGGAGCGGCACTTCGTTCTCGCCTACTGTCAGATTTCCGTGAGTTTGTCTCCTTAACTTCCATGTCATTCACAGATATGTCCAGCCTTGTTCCCATGTTCAATGCTCCCAATTCCAACGCCTCCCCACACCAAAGGCAACTCCACCTGCAGGGCAGGGCGGCGGGCGGCTCGTTCTCGTTTAAAGAAAAAAAAATGTCGCGATGGAACCTTGATAGGATTTGGCAGGTGTGCTAATCTCCGCGTATCACCTAGGGGCGCATACACTGGCGACGAGCCCGGTATCTTGATCAACATCTACTACCCTGTGGTGAGTTCTCTCGTGCGCAGACCTTTCCGCGCCCACGCGGAAAAATAAAAGTGAAGTCATCGTGAGCGAGTCGTGCTGATGTCTTGGCGGGGTCGAAAAATAGCCAACAACTTACACCGTACCGGGAGGACCTGTGGCAAAGTGTTGATCCAGGCCCTTCGTCCGTGTCATTTAATGGCGAGGGTGACGCAAAAAACACATTTTCCTTCACGATAGCCATGGTTGTTGGGTATTAGGGTTTCCGCGGTTTCCACGGCGCGGGCAGCGTGCGTGGCTGGTTGGCTGGCCGTGCCGCTTTGTATAGTCTGTAAGGGAGGTGGATTAAGATGGATACGAGAAGATCCAAAACAGAGACAATATTGGATTTGATTGAATTTTTTTCATTTGTTTGATTCATCTACCAAAAAGCTTCGTGAAATACACGAACTTGGCAGAGGTGTTGGGCATGGCTGCCGTGTCGAGACTCTCGTGTCCCGATAATAATTATCTTTAAAAAAAAAAAAAAAAAAGGGTACTGAGTAAAACACCAGACTCCATTCGCAAAAAGTCCCAAAGAGTCGCTCGTTCGATCCTGAAGCCATCCATAAAAACAGGGAAATACCCCCCACTCTAGAAAGCCCTATCAAGATCGTCAAAAGAGAACGAAGGAAAAAATGAGACAATAGAGCTCCCATAAGTCGTTATCCCCGTAATCACCGGCTCCCAATACCCGGTCTCAAATCCCGATTCTGACGATTCATTCCCCCCTCTTCCGCAGCTCGCTGGATTCGCGATCAATAGGGACTCCACAACTTATCGGGGCTCCCGGGATAGTCGAGATATGACTCGGGGACGGGACTCGAGGTCGAGACGGGAGGAGGGACAATGCGGTATGCGTCGAGCGCAGACATATCCAATGCCAAGCTTCCGGCCCCGTCGTTGGCATTGATGTTGCTCATCAAGTCCCACGCCGGAGCCTGCCCCGCAACAGCAGCAGCAGACATCTGCTGGCTCGCGCGGAGTCTGTAGCACTCGTTGGCCAGAAGTCTGTAAGCACAGCAGAGCGCGTCGTTCTTCTGACTCATGTCCTGGATCTGGGCCTGGAGCTCCTCGAGACGGGACTCCTTGCGCTTTCGGTAGGCGCGCTGGTTGGCGCGGTTCTGGGCGCGGCGCTTCTATACGGGGAGGAAACGTGGTCAGCCTCTTTTTCCTTATTTGCATTCTTTCGGATGCGGCCCGCGGGAGATGAAGACCGGGGAGCCGATGCCCGCCAAAAAACGGGGCTCATGCCACGGACCCGGGGAGGATAATGCAGACTGGGAAGCCGGGGGAACAACTTACTGATAGCACTGACTCGCTGCAGTTCTTATATCTGTTGCCCCGTCTTCCTTTCTGGGGCTTTGAAGACTCTTCGGATCCGCTGGTGGGGGAGTGTGCGTCATCGTGCGAGTCTTCTGCCTTGCTGTGATCGATGCTGGAGGTCGGGCTGTGAGGGCTAGACCATAATGACGTCGGAGTGCAGTAGCCGTTCTCGTTGGAGTTCTGTTCGACTTGTGAGTTTCAAGAGTCTCATCTGTGTTGTCTGGCAGGCTGTAGACATACGATGCGTGAGGCGAACTGCGCGGCGATGATGTCGTAGGGGGTTGTGCCAGCCATTGAGGAGAAGTCGACGGGCATGGCGTATGGCGGGAGTTCTGGTGATGTGCTGTCCATTGCGTAGATGTGTGTTTTGGATACTCTTCCCGACCTCGTTGTTGACGATGATTCACAGTAGATGAGATGGTTCGTGAGATTGGTGTGGCAATACAAGGATCACGGTGACGTTGATGTATGGCGAGCTAGTGTGAGAACTGAGAATAGTGTTGTAGATGGATCTGTGGGATGAAGAGGCGAAGAGGGAGGCGTGGAGGTGGAGGGCAGTAGCGTGATCGAGGAGGCGAGGGTGGGCAAGGGCAACTTATATATCCTTAGTCCTTGGTGTGAGAGCGAAGCATCGCCAAAAGATCTCCGAAGACGGCACCAGAAAGAGATGTGACGATTCTACAATGACCAGAAACAGGACAGGAGACAAGGGGGAGGGGTGTGTGTGTGTGTGGGAAGTAGACACTCTTGTAGACAACATGGCACATACATAGAGAGCCGATGGAACCATGGGGAAACGAGAGCACGAGAACCATGGGCTGGAACCAATGACGGTGTGTGTTAATGTCAACGCTGGCCCGGCACGGGTGGACGAAGACGTGAGAGCGAGTACCTGCATATGGAGCCAGTTGGTCGTCCATCCCAGTCCGTCGCATCTGGAATTCGGTATTCGGTGCCGCGCCGGTCTACAGTATACGTATCTGGAGGAGGAAGGGGGGAGGGGTGTGTGAACAGTGCAAGGCTCGATCAACAATGAGATCAAAGAGCTATGGTGGGCCACCGTCCGTGTGTACATGAAGGGTGAGCGGATGGCTGGTGAGGATGAGGATGGGTATGTTCTCGGCGTGCGAGTCTATGAGTAGTAAGAGATACTTTGAGACTGTAGGAAAAGACATGCTTGTCTACAGTTTCTGGGCCAAGTGCCAGTACAGAATACTTCGACGCATATAACGGAACTCTGAGAAGGAATCCAATGGCAACCAACGATGTAGGGTAACATTACAATATTCGCGCGTTGTTTCGAAGCCAGAACTGAGCAAATAGAGGGCCAGAGGGGACTCTCTCTCAAGTAGCTGATTCGGGCTGTGACCCATTCGATCCCGGGACACCGGAGACGAATCGCGTGTTTTGCAGAAGTCGAGGCCCGAAGACGAGCGGAGACGACCCGGGAATAGCAGAAGGGAAGGGAAGCCGCTGGGTCTCGTCACAAGTTGAGAGAGAGGGCCGCTCACAGAGAACCTCTCTAGTGAGACAAAGGTGTGGGTGAGTGAGAGGAAACGTGAGTGAATGAATCAGTAGACGCGCTATTTTCCCTGCTGGCTGCGGGTTCGATCGGTTTGGTTTCCCAGCAATCATTGCGGGAGCTAATCCTCATCCAGTCTAGCTTTGGCACTGGCTCAGAACACCTTATTTTCTGTCAAATGTCTCGTCTCCGTGGACCGCGGACCGTGGTGTACGGAGCATGCAGAAGAGTGTGAGAGGTAGGTGGTACTGGTGTGTACCCGTAAAACGCGAGCTCGGTCTCATCCGTTATGATATCATTTCGTCCCTCAACGACAAGGATGGCATATGTATGAGCGTTTCTGGGATCTGTATCTCTGTGCGATACAGCTGTGCTTCACTCTGTGCGAGTTTGCCAAGGTGGTCTGGACTTGGACTGACATGTGTTCGCAGAGGGGTTCAACCGTCCAGCTCAGTCGGAGGCTCTGAGTTCAACAGGGCAACGATGAGACTCACCGGTACCAAAGTGTCAGTTAAGCTCGGCAGAGCCACAAAAATAAACCAGCCCTGCAGAGTCTCAGACTCACACTGCGTATCCATAGAGAGTAGAGACTAGAGACTCGCCATTCCGTGGTCTTCGCGCGGTGCTCCACGGATTTACCACTCTTTGCGTGGGTCAGATGGTTGGTTTTCTCCCGTGATATTTTCTCACTTCATTTCCACTCCGTTTTCTAGACTGAGTAGATTCTGTGTTACCATGGGACTTTGCCCGGCATTTCGGCGTCTCGCAAAGTGGGCGGCCCCTTTTTACTACGCTCCCCATTGAAAATGAAAATTTCAGACAAGTTTTTTTTAATTGCTCGTTCCCCATGTCGAAAAACCCTCCAGCTTCAGCTGCTCCAGCTGAGAATAATTCGGATGGGACGGTCTTCACCCAATGCGAATGCCCTCACAACGACATCATGGGACCATGGGCAGTGATCAGATCGGCAGAAACTCAAAAAGCCTGGACCTGTCTTCCCGTGTGGCTGCCTCCCTCTCCAAAACCTTCAATCCGTTAATTCCGCCATGCATCGAAAGACTGTCGACTGTTGCTGTATCCGTACCGTCCAGGCGCACCCAGAGCTAACCGGTGCCCTTTCGGCTCCGACAGAGCTGCATTGACCAATTCTATAGCCGCCATCGGGCGACGGGATGTGATGCTGGGACCGGGATGTGAACACTACTTACCCGAAAAGGGAACAAAACAATTCTCTCTCTAGGGCGTCCAGTCCAGCCCTAGCACATACGTCCAGCCCTTTTTTGGTGTCTCTCTTGTTCTTCCCGTCGGAACCACAACCTTGCGGTACAGGGGTGCTGACGCCTGACTCGGGTACGTCGGACTCGCGTCGGTGGCGTGTCGGTGGTCGGCTTCAGCTTGCGCCGGGAGTGACAGTGAAGACTGGCAGGGCTTCAAGTGACAAGCGATAGTTGAGTAGTATTCCAGCAGAGCCGTCAGTTTCTTTCCCGGTAGTTCCCATGGCGTAAAGTGGGATATGGAGACAGCTTGAACAGGGTGGATTCGCGTAAATCGGCTGCCCGTTGATCATCCACGCCCGTACGAATAGCTGACAGTCTCGCAGAGACCTCAACGGCAGTGGTACATGATATCCCTGAATAAGCTTATCCCACGGAGCGTATCGCTGCAAATCCCTCTTGTCTCTGCTTACCTTTCTGTTCATCGTGCCCTCTCTTCTGAAGCTTGACGCCAGATGCAGATGGGAGAGCCACACCCTTCCCCCTCTCACCCCCCACCACCATCACCCACCAGACCAACGGTCCATCGATGCACAGAAGGCTTGGCGTTTTCTTCCGATGCTTCGATGTCCTTTCCACCCGGCATCCATCCCTAATCACGACGTGAACTCGTGATGGTCAGTGTGGGTCAAATTGGCGATATGCTGCATGCGGTAAACTGCATCTCAATTTTGTTGATCACTATTGTTGGAATCTTTACATCACTTCTGACGGCCTTGCTCACTACGATCGCATCTATCTCGGGATTACACATCGCTTGTATGTCTAACATCCCCATAGAACGATACAACATGTGAAAGACACTAGGCGTGAGCTCGTTCGGCACCGATCCTCGGAGAGCTTTAGTGAACGAAGCACACTACCCTTAGTTGCTGACGTCGTCGAACCCAGGAAATCCTTCCCTCCCCGCTCGGTCGCCGTTTGGGAGCACGGGTCCCGCCGTCAAGTTTCTAGTCGGGCCAGCTATGAATATCTTACCGTAGACACAGATTCCATACTCTATGGTTGGTCCCCGAAAATTGACGTGTCTTAATTCCGGCTTACCCGCCCAGCGAAGCAGGACAGAAACTCTATCCTGAGCCGTTGGAACCGGGGGCGGCTTACTGGAGCCATTGCATGGCTAGGACACCACCACATCAGGAATCCGGCACAACACAGGGGCGCAAGTGCGCCGCAGTAGCGCCTATTCGGCTGATGGGACGGGAAGGTCCTGGACCATGTCAACTGTGCCGATTTCGACTCTCATCATTGCCATGTAGGCTGAATGGAGAGGGAGGGAGTTTCCCCGCCATTGCCAATTCTCACACTGCGCCGGCGGAATGGCCGATAAAAAGAGCGGGACAAGGCCGATTCGCGACCCATATTCTCATCGGCACCGTCCCGGCGAAGCGGAGGCAAGGCGGAGCCCCGCACCGGGAGCCCTTGCACATCCATCGAAGATATCCTGCCTACAACTGACTCTGATCCACGCATACACACGTACTCAAAGATACGTCACAGAATACGACTGAGTGACGCGAGGGCGAAGCGAGGAAGTCCTTCTTTGCAGATGGCATTTGACTTTTCGGGCGCTGTCAGAAACATCAGACCAAAAGTGTGACTTTCAGGCTACCCTTCTCTCGACGGGGAGGTACTGCTCATAGCAAGCAAACAAAGCCAGCATATGCCCCCCTCAAGTCCCGAACCCGCCACACCGCAAGTGCCTCTCTCCCCATCCCTACCACCCTTTTCGCGACGCGAGATTCTCCCCGAGGCGCAAGCCAAGCCACACACGTCGAGCGGTTTGAACGTTTCTTGAACCCCGAATTCTGGGGTTTGCGCAACCCCCGGTGTACCTAATCTCGTTGGCCCGTTTGAAGTCATCTTTCGTCCCAAGTTGAGAGGCTGAAGTGAACGTTCAATACGAGGAAGCTCGAACCAACAAAGTGCGTCTGGACCTCTCGTTTCCGCGGGTGCTGGGTATGGTACCCTTTTCGGCCAACGGCGTCGAGTCACCGTCGGTTAAAGGGCAGGCATACCGAGATCGTTATGCTGCAGCCTAATATTGCAGAGTCAGACTCAGACAGCTAGTGCGTCCCTACTGAATAAGTGATTATTCTCCGTCCTAGCTTTCTGCTTTGAAAACCATTTTGCTTCTGATTGTTGCCTAGGTGTTCGTCGTCAGCTGTATCCCACCTACGGCCGCTGTCCCAGATACGAGTGACGACTCACGCCGCGCTGCCGTCTCAAGAAGGGCGTCGTCATCTGCCGCCTCATAGCCTCCGTACGCCACACATGTCTGGAAGAGGTCTGGACTACGATCGTCTAGCCCAGATCGTCGGCTCTAGTCCCTGACCTAGCGATTTTCTGGGGTATCCCGATTGTTCGTGGTTGTACTTGTTTCACCTGACGAAGATCAAGACTTGATAGGAACCTATTTTAAGATTTCGTGAGAGGGCCATCACAACTCCGCTTTCATAGTGTTGAGGTCAGGTCCCATACAATGTTCTCTAGACCGTCAGTCGATGGCAACAAAACATGCCGACACAGAGCCTGTCACTCCTGGCCATGAAGGTAAGATGTGAACGACACAGATAAGCCTTGGTAAACTATTGTTGTCTAAGCCCCGTTTCTCCGTGCCGATGAGCACCTGAAGTAACCCGTCAAGGTTGAAGATGTTTCTACTCCACCCAAGTCCCTGACCAAAGCCATCAAGCTCTCCCAGTCCTCGCAGCCAACAAGGGACCCAAACTCAGAACAGCTTGTGTCATACCCTATAGCTGAGCAGACCACAAAATCTTCCGTCGGGGTAAGCAACGGCGTACACGTTGGCCCAGTGGGTTAACGTGTACAACGGCGCTTACGGAGCTCACATCTAAAAGACTGGCCTGCCCGACCGTAGTCCCTTGTTACAGCCGATGAGTGAACATACAATCATATAATTTGCCATTTTGCCATTTGGCGCCTTTTTCTTTTTGATGAGGAGTTGCTTTCGTTTTGCTGGATGGTTTGTTCAAGGTAATTTCCCTATTTGCGTAGGCGTTGTGAAGATGCTCGTGGGAAGGGGGATACGAGAGATGTTGGTCATGCCATGGGGGTTCGAGCCTACCTATGGACGCTTTTTGTAGGTTCCCTTTCGTCAAGGAAGATGTGATTGTTTCTTTGGACAAGAATTTTTGTCTTTACAATATGTAAAAATGCGAGTGGAATACTCGATCTGTCACGACAAGGGCACGTTCTGTTGTATAATATACGTCGTACCCAACAGGACGAGCAGATATTGCCAGTGACTCTTTACTCCATCGCTAAACGACACCGCGGATCCCATTGAATGATCGGAAGAGAAGAGCCCCACTCAAGCCGTTCCGAAAACCAAAATTGTCAAATCATCAGTCATCCACGCCTGTTTTGCCCCGAGCCAGCCGTTTTTGACCCATCCCCCATCCCTCGTACGCCATTATATAAATCAAGAGCTGTTGGCAAAGAACTTTGTGATCTTCTGTGTGCCGCCCTGTTTCGACTTCACAGGACTCTTACTCCCATTACTCGTTGGGTTGATCCTGCTCTGCCGTCCCTTCACAGGTGAAACCCTCGAAGTCTTCCTAGGCGGCTCCTCTTCTGCATCTTCACCAGCGTCAGGTGCCTCCCGCTTGACCCCCGCTTCCTGCTGGCTGCCCTCCTTATCAGCCGCCTTGGCGATGACTTCCGGCACCGGCTGGCTCTGTCCAACTTGTGACTCCTTGGGCTCTTCTTTTGTCTCGATAGTAGGCTCGAGCTTCCTGGCCTCCTTGGACTTTTGCTTGGCAGAAGCATTGGCGAAAAAGTTTGCAATGTTGTGTTTGTTCTCCTTACTCGCGACGGGGATGATGAAGGAGGGTGAGTTGTTGCCAACCTTGCCGACCTCTTTGCTTACGGCGTAGCATTCGAGCTCGCCGTCGAATGGCTTCAAGAGGTCCTGCAGCTCTTTGGACCATTCGTGCCGCTTTGGGTCCAGCCACGTCTTGAGCTCTTTGGAGCCCGGGTCGAGGATGACTGGCATCCTGTCGTGGAGGAACTTGAGCTGCTTGTTGGAGTCTGTCGTGATGATGGTGTAGGTATATCGCTTCTCTTGGGCGTCTATCTCAAAGTTAGACCCGCTCGAAACGATTGAGGCTTGGGGATGCTCACCTTCATACTGTGCACAATCCCACAGCCCAGCAAAACACATGAGCTGCCCGTCCTTCCTCTTGACAAAATGGGGCGTCTTCTCCTTTCCATTCTTCAACCACTCATAGAACCCCTGAGCGACGACGATACACCGTTTCCCCGCCTTCATGGTCGACCACATACCGCCAGGCGTGCTCAGAGAGTCGTCGCGGCAGTTGATCGTCTTGGAGAGCGTGGCGTAGCCGGGATCGCGCTTCGTCCAAAATGGAATCAACCCCCATTGCATCGACTGCAACTTGTACTTGACCGAGCTGTCGCTGCCATCGTTGCTTTGAGACTGGCTTGAGGCGGCACCATCCTGTTGGCTGTTCCCTTGATGACGGCCATGGCCCGCGCCACGGTCCGGGACATCGGCGCGATAGACGACGCCGTGGTAGCCTGGTGCGAAGTTGTATGTCTGGCGAGGAGACCCTTGACCCTCGTCTTCTGGCACGTCATCCACTGACATGTCATCGTCCTCCAGCATCCGTCGGATTTGCGACGGCCGCTGCGCAGGTGTTAGTATTGGGCTTGGAGCTTGGTCATGTCTCCGAGACTCACCAGAGCTAAAGCGTATCTTCCGCACATATTCCCCAATGACCCAGTGATCCACAATGAAACTTTGTCTTCTACGAAGACTTGCGCCGAGATGCGATGGATGGTTTAAGGGCCAAGAGCTCATATGCATTGATGACGTCGTCGAGACGCGGGACACTGCGGCAGACGTGACTAATCTACGCGCTAGATGCACGCCGGCACGTGACCCTCCTCCTCCAAAAACCACTTTTCGAGATATCACGAGATACCTCATCTTGCTTCAGTCCTTCGAAGTTTGATTCTCTTACTCTGAGAGAAGAACATGATGCAATCGATGTACTCTCTACGCTCGCGGTCTTAACCCTCACCCATCAACACAACTCCAACTAGAAGCAGCATCAATATCCCCCTTGCCACCCCACGAAGCATACCCAGGGTAACTACAAATCGGCCTCTGCCTCAATACCCCCTTGTCAACAGTATCATTAGCAAACTTGGTCGCAATAATCTCCCTCACGCCCTCTCCGCCACCCTCGACCCACTCAACAAGCGCAAGCAACACATCGTACCTCGCATCATCCACGCCAGGCACAGGGAACACATGCTGCCCGTTCCCCTCCAGCGCCGCAGCGTGCCCGCTGCCACCAAAGTACCACGGCGCATCGTACACCCCGCCCGAACAGTGCTGCATCCCAGGCACAAAGAACAGCCTCCAAAACTCGTCCAGGTCGACCCCCCGCGCCGCCATGGCCGCCCACGTCTCGTCGTATAACACGCGGCTCACGTCCGTCGGGATCAAACCGTCTGCGTAGCCGTGGTACTGCACCAGTTTCCCGCCTCTCTCATAGAACGCAGAGAGATCAAAATTGTCCGCGTTCACGTTGCCCGGGTTCAGCCGCGCGGCCTCGACGAAAGTAGAGTAGCCGAACTGCGTCGTCCAGTCCCACGACGGGTCCTCAAAGAGGTAATTCTTGGCGTACTCCGTCCCGTAGAGGCTGGGCTCGTTGTTCGATCCGAACGACGACGGCATCTGCTTCTCGGAACCGAGGCCAAAGTTGGGGTAGACGTACGTCAAATTGTGAACGTCGGCGTCGAGCTGGATGAGCGGGCGGTACAGCTGCTTCAGTGTCGCGATCTGCGGCGCCGTCAGACACGTAGTGGAGCGGTTCGAGCTCGCGCCGGTCTTGCAGAGCATCTTCTCAGGCCGGAAGTTGCAGTGCGTAGGGTTCATCACCACGCCGTCGACGACACCGTCAGACCCGTCGCACTGCCGCAGAACCTCGTCGCTGATGGCGTCAAACACGGCGGGCGGGAGGTACCCGGGCCCGTCCTCGGGCAGATTCACAGCCCCGACTTTGAGCTGCCACAGCTGCTGGCTCGTAGACATCCACGCCGGCGCACCGGCAAGGATCCCGTCAAAGTCCTCTGGGTGGTCCTGCGCCGACTTCACGCCCTGCCGGCCACCTGTTGAGCAACCGGAATAATACGACCTGTTGGCCGCGGCGCCGTAGTATCCCTCAACAATCTGCTTCGCGACGACGGTCGAACCATGGAGACTGCGCCCTGCCCAGTCAGCTTTTGTCTCAGGGTTGTTGAGCGCCCAGCCCATGTCCTGGTTCGACGAGTTGTGGCCTGTGGAAGTCGACATTGTCGCGAAGCCGTATTTGACGCCGGTGCCCATGGCGTACCAGTTGATACCCCCCGAGAACCCCCCGTTACCGACCGCGAGGAACCTATCATTCCACTCATCTGGTAGGAATAGACCAAATGTGTAGGACGATGTCGGCGAGGACGTGACGTTGATGGAGACGACGCAGAGGGGCGGAAGGTGCGTCGCGTTTTGGGGGTAGGCGATGTTGCCCACCTCTCCAAAGGTGCCATTGTCACCTAATTGTAAAGTCGTCAAGACCTCGGCTTGGTTTTCTGGTATAAGGAGGGCGCTCACGCTCTCGAGTGAACACTGGCTTGGGGTCTTTTGCGCGGAGACTTGTGAGGCACAACCCGCCGCCCACAAAAGCAGGCTCAGCACACGCGGAGCAGACGGCATGGTGACGAATAAGAGGCCCAGAAAGATCATGCCAAGTTCAAAGTCGTCCCGACACTCTGGCACTGCGCACCTTCTTTCATGGCCGGCATATTTATACAGAGGCAATGGCCGAGAGTGCAATCTGAACCGTTGCATTCGTTCAGGATTCCACCCCGCCGGCTCCGCAATTCACCTCCATCATCCCCGCGTTGGTGGAGAGTCTGTCAATTGCACCCCGCAATCTCGTTGCGCTAATCTTATATCAGTCTCGTCAGATGAACATCTCAGAGGGGGGGAAACAAATGAAAACCCAGTCCGAGGCGGCGGAGGCGCAAGGTTGGGAGCCAAATGTGACGTTGCTGATGGCTCTGGGGATAAACAAAACCCCACGGCGTCCGGCATCGGCCCGGTGGTGTGGACTACATGGCGGCCTTTAACCGTCGTTATTATCCGCTTCATTCGGTGTTGTTGAATACCTAGATCTAGGAGGACCGATGAGAGCAGATTACTCTAACACATCTCTAGACAGCGTATTAGCGTCACTGCATAGGCCATACGCCTTGATCTTTCATGTCTTCGTTCCGTCTGATACTAGACTCTGTCTGAAGACAGCGAGTACTACTCTGTGAAACCGTATACAGAAATGTACAATCCCTGGTTGAATGAATGCCATGCCTCTCCACATGAATACTCTGAAAACTCCGTAATCCCCTTTTTTTAAACAGTCCGCCTAGACTTGCGCTTGAGCGCCGTCTGCGCAGCCCATGCATCCTCGAAAATAGTCTTGCGCTGCCCAACATCTCCCCTCTCCATGGCGAGGCGGCGCACTACGTGGAACGCGCCGGTTCCTACACTCATGGTCTGGCCCATGATGATACACTCACTCACGCCCTCAATCTGATCCGTCTTCATACCGGCAGCCGCCTCGAACAAATGGTCTGGCGTCTTCTCGAACGAGGCCAGCTGGAGAACACTGTCTCTCATCTTGGACAGTCCGAATCGTGTGATACCGAGGACCTCGCCCTTGTAGGTCATGACATCAGCAAGCAGCTGCATGTGACGCGGATCGATACCCATGTCACCCATGACCTCGCCAATTTCAAAGGCAATTGTGCTTCTTGCGGCCTCGATACCCAAGACGTCTCTGCACTCCATAATGTTGTTGGACTTGACCTTTCGTCCCTCGACACCCTCTGTGTTCATGCAAGCGAGAAGCCCATAACCTTCGACCAAAACAGTGTGAGTTTCGTCCTCGGACGATTGGATGATGGCACGAGTGGCCTCGGGGTAACCAGAGATGGCCACGGTCGGGATCGTTCGGCGGAGGTAGTTGGCTCGCACCAAGAGATCGCCAAGCTCATCCACGGGCTTGGCCTTGACAGACCGCTTGGAAGCCGCCGACTCGTCGAGGCGAACGCGGATCTCGATTCTCCCGGCGCCAATGTGCATATCGGACCTCGACACCTTCATCTTCTTGTGCTTGCAAATAGCCTCGGCCACATCGCCCAGGGTAATGCCTAGTTGCATGTCGGACAAAGCATCCATGTCGACCTTGAGAACGACGCATCCCGACTCGGCGAACCATTCGTCCTCAATGTAGCTCAGGATGTCCTCAACATACGTCTTTTCGATACGCGCCTTGACAATCTTCGCGGCTGTCATCTCCCTGTTCTGCATCAAAGGGCAGGTGATGACGGGGGTACTGATAGTCTTGGAGGCGTTGATAATTTCCTTGATACGGGGTACACCCTGGGTGATACTCATACCAGCGACACCAGCAAAATGGAAAGTCTTCAGAGTCATCTGCGTACCGGGCTCACCAATAGACTGCGCACCAACAGCTCCGACGGCATGTCCGGGCTCGACGTGCGCCTTTTTGTACTTTTCCAAACACAGCTTGATGAAGAGTCGCAATGTCGTCTCGGACATCTTGGCGACCTTGTCGGCAAAAGCCTTCTTGGCCTTGACCTCATCCTCATCAATGTCAACATCCATGCTGTCAGCGTTGGCTGTCAGGCCGGTGAGCTCCATCACACGAGCAAGCTTGTTGGCACGTCCGGTAATGTAAGACTCTAGTGATCGCAAGAAGTCTCTGGCGCCTTCGTGCTCGTCTGTGTACTTTTCTTCCTCGTTGTCGTAATCAAGAGTCAGATCACCCAACAGCGACTTTCTGGGATAGCGCGCGCGTTCTCGAGCAAGCAAGTTGTCGCAGAGTTTGACCATCTCGTTGGGCAGCAAGGCAGCCTCGTCATTGTCCCAGGTAAGGTTCTCAGCGTGAGAGAAGGTTCGGTCAAAGTTGACAGGCTTCGCAGTGGCCTCCATGTCGACGGGGTCCAGTTTGTCGGCACCGAACTGGAACTGAACAATACCGCCGCCAGATGTCCGCACAGTGTCGTCGTACTGCGTTGACAAATCTTCCAGAGACTTCATCAGTCTGCGTGACATGTAACCGGTCTCGGCCGTCTTGACAGCGGTATCGACCAGGCCTTCACGACCAGACATGGCGTGGAAGATGAATTCGGTGGGCAGAAGCCCAGAGTAGAAACTGTTCTCGACGAATCCCTTGGACGGCGGCTGAGGCGCGTTCTTGTGGAAGTGAGGAAGCGTTCTGTCCTGGAAACCATCGGCAACACGCTTGCCACCAATAATCTGCTGTCCAACTAGGGCAACCATCTGGGCCACGTTAATTTCTGAACCCTTGGATCCAGACTTGGCCATGACCAGCGGGGCGTTGTTCTTGCTGAGAGTCTCGATACAGTGAGAACCAGCCTGCGTTCTGACCTTACTGAGAAGACCCGAAATGGAGTTCTCTAGCGTCTCCTCCATGCTGCAACCCGTCGCCTTTTCGAGCTTGTTCTTCTTGTACTTGTCAATGAGGACATCGACCTCTATGCTTGCACCCTTGACAAGCGTGCTCTTCCTCTCGAGCAGTTTCTCGGTGGGGAAGACATCACCAATACCGATGGAGAAGCCTCGATTTGTGAGATGTCTTGCGCACAACTTGGCAAGTCGGTTCATCGTAACCACGGCCGCATCGGGACCAAAATCTCTCAGGATAACATAAAACACTGAATCTTTCTTTCCTGATCCGACCGTCGACTTGTCCATGACACCGCACATGACTTCGGAGTTGCGAATCACCAACCATCCGTCATTGGGATCCATATCGGGGCACTGTCCAGCTCTCGCCTTGTATTCTCTGCACTTAGCGTCAAGGTTAATCTTGACAGGACTGTCTTTGTTGGGTCGCATCATCATGCTGAAGACTTGCTTGCCGGTCCACAAAGCCTTGGGCTTTAGAATGGCAGGAGGGGGCAAGTCGAGGTGGACCTTGCCGTCCATCATGTGCATGCAGATGTACGTGAACGTCTTGCGGTCGAAGAAGTTGTCCTTGCTGCTCAGAAGATAAGCGGCGGTAATGAAATCTTGCGTAGCCGCAATGACAGGCTCTCCGTTCTTGGGCGTCGCCAGGTTGTGTTTCACACCCATGAGGTTGATGGCCTCGGCGCGAGCTTCCTCTGTCTGCGGTACGTGAAGATTCATCTCGTCACCATCAAAATCGGCGTTGTAGGGGCCGCATACACACTCGTTGAGGCGGAACGTCCTCCACGGTCGCACTTTCACCAAATGACTCATGATACTGAGCTTGTGCAGAGACGGTTGACGGTTAAAAAGAACAATGTCGTTGTCTTCCAGATGGCGTTCGACGACATCGCCGATTTTGAGATCCTGGGCGACCTGGTTCCGGTTACCAAACTTCAAGGAGATTTTGTAGCCTCCCTCATCGTTCTTGATGACCTGCTGAGCGCCAGGCCAGATGCTGGGGCCGTTGCGAACGCACTCCTTCAACTTCTTAATGTTGTAGTCTGACACTCGCTCCGGGTAGGTCAAGTTCTTGGCGACGAGCTGGGGAACAGCAACCTGGTCGATGCCAAGGTTGGGATCGGGAGAAATGACGGTTCGTCCGGAGAAGTCGACACGCTTTCCGGACAAATTGCCACGGAATCGACCCTGCTTTCCCTTTAACCGCTGGCAGAAACCTCTCACGGCTTTGCCAAATCCCGGCTGTTGCAGACCTGGCACGTCACTGTTGACGTACATGGCAACTTGGAGCTGGAGATACTCCCACTGTTCCATAATGGTCTGAACTGGCGAGCCCTTTTGTAGTGCCGAGCGAATCATGCCGCTAACCCAGACAATGTCTGCCAGCTTTGTTGTGATATCGTCCTCGTTACTCGCGTTGTCCTGGGCTACTGATGGTCGAATGCACACAGGAGGCGCAGGAAGGAACTGCCAGATAAACATTTCAGGACGGCCCTCGGCGGGGTCCAGGCCAAGAAGCTCGCAGTCGGTGGGGCTGATCATTTTGAAAAGGTTGAGAACCCTCAGAGGATTCATATCCTCCATGGCCTTGCGCAAGTGCTTGTCCAGCTCGCCATTGTTCTTTCTGGCCTCGGCGAAGGACTCGTCGAACTTGATCTTGCTCTCGGGAGGGATCTTCTTGGCCGAAGTGGATTTGTTGTACGTGACGAACTTGTCGTGGGCGAGCTTGAGAACACCAACTTTCCTAATCTGGCCTTGGACGGAACCGCAGTACATGCAGTTCTTGACCTTTCTGCATTGCTCGTTGATTCGTTTGCAAATCTGCGTCCGTCGCAGATTGTCGAGCAAGGGTCGCCTCAACTCCTTGAGGAACGATCTCTTCTCGCTCTCTGTGAGTAGGACTTTGCCGCAGTCCTAGATACTGTCAGCGGCAGTCATTACGAGGGAAACTGGGAATGCTCACCTTGCAGATGTCCTGCAATATCATCATGACGAAGCGCAGGTAGCCAATGTGAAAGGCCGGTAGAGGAAGTCTGACATGACCGAAATGGCCTGTGCAGTTTTGCAGCGATTCCTCACATGTTGAACATTTGCCTGTCTTGCTTGAGGTACCCTGTCGGCCAACACATTAGATCGTCTCATAGATGAATCGTTGGGAGTCGCTTACAAGACGGGGGTCAAGAGGACCATGCTGATAC